GGGGACCGGACACGGCCGGTTTACGACGCTCCTCGGGGCCGGGGAGCCGGAGATCGGGGGCCGGGGCCGGACGACGACTTTCCCCGGGGCCGGGCGCACTCACCGCAGCCGCCTCCGCCCGGCTGTGCTGCCCCTGCCCCGGCGCCCGGCCGCAGCCGGCCGACCCGCTTCCGCTCCGCCGCTCCTGCCGCCGCGTCTCTATGATGGAGCCCGCCAGGCTGACGCCTCGAGCCCTGAGGCATCGATGACCGCAGAGTGTCGAGCACCCGGCAGCCCGCATCGGCTGTTGCTGCGCCTGCGCGCACTCGAGCTCGCGCCCAACAGCGCCCCTGGCGGCCGGGAGGGGCGGCGGCCTCGCACCGAGGCCAGTGGGCTGGGCTGAGGGCCAGGCTCACTTACCTTGGGGTTCGAGACCCCGCCCCGCCGCTCCCAGCTGCTGGGGCCTTTGGGCTAGGGGGTCGTGGACAAGGACCCAGAGGTCAACTGAGACTTTGTAAACAGGATATGGCGCCAGGGCCCTGCCGGGAAGTGCAGAGTGAGGAGGCTGGGGGTAGATTCTCGTGGGGGGCAGGGTGCTTGGTAAGGCAGGAGGACCAACCGGGACTTCCTGGGCTGGAAGTGGACTGGCGCCTGCTTCCTGTGCCAGGCTTCTGGGCGGCACTGGACCGTGGACTCTGACCCAGGACTTGGCCGTCCTGCCCTCTGCCTCCCCCAGACCCGGCCATCACCATGCTGACCCCCAGGACTGCACTCTTCTTGACTCTGCTCCTGGCTGGGGGCACCCTGAGCCAGAGGGCTCGGAGACCCCCTCGGCCAGCGTCCCCCATCAGCACCATCCAGCCGAAGGCCAACTTCAATGCTCAGCAGGTAGAGGGGGGACAGGTGGGTGGGCAGGGCCGGGCAGCCCCTCATCCCCTTGTGCCCTCACATGGCCTGCTCCTAGTTTGCAGGAACGTGGCTCCTTGTGGCCGTGGCCTCCTCATGCCGCTTCCTGCAGGAGCAAGGCCACCGGGCTGAGGCCACCCTACTGCGTGTAGCTGCCCAGGGCGCAGCCATGGCTGTCAGCACCTTCCAGAAGCTGTGAGTCCCCCGTAGGGACCCCTGCCCCCACCCTTGATGTGGCCTGGACTTAGAGTCCTGCGAGGCCCTGCCCGGGTTGGGGTCCCTAAGCATTCTGTGCTCACCCCCGCCCTCCCCAGGGATGGGATATGCTGGCAGGTGCAGCAGCTCTACCGAGACACGGGAGTGCCCGGCCGCTTCCTGCTCCAAGGTGAGGCAAGGGCATCAGGGGCTGGGGTGCAGGGCTGAGGGGCCAGAAGCTGACTTGGCTGACTCGGCTCTGTCCAGCCCGAGGTGCCCGCAGGGCAGTGGACGTGGTCGTCGGGGAGACAGACTACCAGGGCTTCGCTGTGCTGTACCTGGAGCAGAAGCGGCGGCTGTCGGTGAAGCTGTATGGTGCGTCCACGCGGGAGCCCGCGCTTCGCACACGCTCAGCGCCGTCCGTGGGGGGCGAGCCCAGGGGGACACACGGACCCTCCCTGTATTCTGACCCTCCTCAGCTGAGCAGGGTTCTGGGGAGGAGCCCCTGCCGATAGGCCCAGGTGTGGGGGCAGAGGGGACAGGGAGGGGATGGGGGTGTCGCAAGCACACAGACCCTATGCCCAGCATGCCCCGCCTGCTCCCTCACCGCGTGCCCAGGAGCCCTGTGTGCCCCACAGCCCGCTCGTTCCCGGCAAGTGACTCGGCCCTGAGTGCATTTGAGCAGGGGATCCAGAGGGCCAACCTGACCGAGGACCATATCGTGTTCTTCCCCAAGTACGGTAAGCCTCCCCCAGTGGCCGGCCTTGTCCTCCCCCTGTGCCCTGCCCCGGCCACTCCTGACCCCTGCTTGGGCCTTCAGGTTTCTGCGAGGCCGCAGACCAGTTCCACGTCCTAGATGGTGAGTGGGCAGTGCTGGCCGGGTGGTGCAGTGAGGGGGGGCACCCCTCAGCTCCTTCACTGGCTGAGTCTCGTCTCTGTGCCCCAGAAACAAGGTGAGTCCAGGCGGCAGCCCGGACCTTAGAAGGAGTGAAGATTCTGAAGGGGTTGGCACCTGCTACCCTACTCACTGAGCCCCGGGGCCGCCTGGGGTCAGGGCCACCCCATGGGGGGATGCTCTCCCGTGTGTGCCCCGAAGCTGCCCATCACCCACAGAGCTCAGGAGCATTATCTTCATTAAACGCTGTCCAGCTTGGCCGCTGACTCCTTCCTTTCCGTGTTGGACCTGGACGGGGGCCTCTGCCGGCCCGTCTTCTCATGAGCATGTGGGACTGCTCCCTCCGGGTGGGCTGGAGAAGGAAGGGGCTCCTCCCCTGGTCAAATGGGGAGGCAGGGTGGAAATGGCTCTTTTTCAAGGTCTGGAAGCATCCACTGCCCTGCTGTCCCTGTGCCCCAGTCTCGGCTTCTCAGTTGGGCCCCTGCAGTATGGTCCCAGCTGCCCTTCCCTGCTCCCAGTCTGTGAGCACACATGCCCTGCTGGCCTTGCTGGGCCGCCCTGGGTAGGCCCAGGACCGGAGCCTGCCCCCTGCCCAGATGGTGGGGGGCCTTTCCTAGAGGGACGAGGAGCCCTACACACAGGTTCTCCTGGTCTCCCGCTGACCCTGAGCTCCTCCTGGGAGGCACGGGTCCAGAGTACCAGTGGCCCTCTGGCCTGAGGCAGGACAGGCCACTGGGAAGGGGGCAGGCAGACCCCCTCCCCATTCCTGGATGTGGTGCCTGGGTCTGCAGTGAGTTGGCAACGGCTTAGAAAGACAGGAGGCCGGGCTGTCCCTATGGCTGGCCCGAGCGCTGGCAGGGGATGGGCCTGGGAGCAGGACTGATCACCTGGGGCTGAGTTGAGTCCTGGCGTCAGGCAGCCAGGTGCCCCGCAGGGTAGATGGTGAGCTTACCCAGGCAGGGAGAATAAGGGGTGTGTGTGTGTGTGTGTGTGTGTGTGTGTGTGTGTGTGTGTGTGTGAAGAGGGGAGGGAGAAGGGTCTATCCCAAAATGGAGGAAGCAGCCAGCCTAATTCAGGCGCTAGGATTGGGGTGAGCACAGGAGTTTGGTGCACAAGTGGGGGAGTCCACACCCAGGATCTGACCAAGGTTACCAGCTATGAGGAAGGCAAGTGTGTGCTTTGCTCTGTAGAGAACCTTCTGAAATGAGGGAACTCCAAGGCACATGGGAGATGGAGGCGGGGGGGGCTGAAAATGGGGTAACGGTGTCCCCCCCCCCCGCCCTGGGCAATGGCTGCCTGGAGGAACAAGTGATGCCAGACTGTTGGGGGGATGTGGAGTGCTGGGGAAGATCTGCCTCCGGGGGATCCCCACTGCCCCCCAGGGTAGACTGCACATGCCTCCCACAGCCTGGGGCCTGGCCGACCTGCCTGACCCTCACCGGGGGTCCCAGACACTGGGGAAATCACTGCAAGAGAAGAATCAGGACTGGGGGACTGACCTAGAGGAAACAGAGCTACTCCAAGAGGGCAAAGGGCACTTGAAGCAAACAATTTTGAGTTGCCCAACATGCAGCTCTCCTCGCCAGGGTCAGGGTCTGCCCAGGGGCGTACCACAGGGTGGACAGCTGCCCCAGGGCTAGGGGAGGGAGCCGTGGCCCTCACCCTGCGCCAGGAGCCCAGTGGGCAGCGCCTGGACTCCGCTTGGCCCCTGCTGGTGAGAACACTCTCCAGATCCTGCCAACACCCCCCACTCCCCATCTTGTTAAACCATCTCCTCCATTTGCTAGAGGACACTGGCCAATTTCAACAGCTCTGATGACTTGGGGGTGCATACTGTGCCCCCACGCATGCCCACTCGGTGCCCTGAGGGGCCTGGAGGCACCCTGCTCTGGGACGGTGTGGGGGGCCAGCTTTCTCCCTTTACTCCCCTCCTCGGCCTCCCCAAGCCTTGCTGGGCAAGATCCAAGCCCACATGGCTGTGAGCACCCTGGGGTGCTTCTGAACAAACATGCCTGGCATGCACTTGCCCATCCTGGAGAAATGTGCCCGCCTCACCCCCAGCCCTCCCACTGTCCCCTTAGGAACCGGGACTGGGGTTGGGGGGTGGCCTCCCTTCAGGAGAACCTGGGGAGGGTCTGAGGGCAAATGGCAGCCCTAGGCTGGGGCCAGACTGGAGCTGGAAGGTCCATTCAAGGAAATGTGCATTAGCTTGGCCAAAGCTGGGCCTGGAACTGGCCCCAAGCCACGCTGTCTTCGGGCCCTCGGCATCCATCTGATGAGCGTTTCTCAATGCTGGGCACACCGGTGGGACGGCTCCCTGTTCCTGGAATCTCGAGGTCCAGAGCTCACCAGTGACTGCTGGTGAGGCTGAGGGGGCACCTGGGAGCTGGACCCCCACTGGCCCCATTTCCTCCCTGGGCTGCCAGGGAGTAGGGGTGAGCACCAGGACATCCCAGGTGAGCTGTAGGGACCACTGTCTGGTCCCACCGCTGCATGCCCACTTGGCCGACTGGCTCAGCCCAGACCAGGAGGACTGGGGTGGGTGGTTGCTAGGAAGAGCCAGCAGCAGCCTTGTATGGGCTCCATGTCTCCAGTGGGTGGGGACCATGCCCGACCCCACAGACTGGGCAGTGCCCACCCTATGTCCCTTGGAACTGGCCTCCCAGAAAGGCAGACATATATGACTGAGGAGAAGAGGGGAAGGCAGGGGGCCTTGGCCGCCAGGGCTTTGAGGGAGAAGAGCAAAGGAAACTATAGTCTCCCCATGGGCCCTACGACCCAGAGACCCACTGGTCACCCGCTGGAGTCTCTGCACACTTGTATCAGGTGGGGCCGTGGCTCAGAGAGCCCCCTGCATGCCTGGCCTCACAGCCCCCAAATAGGAAATGAGGGCCTCTGCTCTGGGGTGTGGGAGAGGTCAAACATATCCCCCTCTCAGGGATTCTGGGGAAGGATGCTTCTGGAAGGACTGCAGGTCCAAAGGGCAGAGCCAGAGACCCTCCCACGTGACCACAGGGCTGAGGCCCCACAGCAGCCCAGGCCTGTCCCTCTGGGTCCCCAACAGCAGGTCTGGGGCGGGGGGCAGCTGTCATGCATCTTATTTCCACAAAAATATTTATTGAACTCTCATTGTCACAAACTAGGTGAAATAACCGTAGTTCTAAGTGAACTGTTTTTAGGTAAAGATGTTAATTATAATTTGTATTTTGTCTTTTAACTATAATAGGTGATTTTTAATACCTTAGAAGGAAGAAAAATATTATTTTATTTGAGAGAGAGGGAGCTCGAGAGAGCGAGGGTGGGGGGCAAAGGGTCAGAGAGACAGAGAATCTTAAGCAGGCTCCACATCCAGCACGGATCCCAATGCAGGGTCAATCCCACAACCCTGAGATCATGACCTCAGCCAAAACCTAGCCAACTGAGCCACCCAGGCGCCCCAAGAAAAATACCTTTTAAAAATGTATACAAACTTACCTCTAATTGGCAGTGGCGGTTGGGGGCCCCCAGGGAAGGCCAGAGGAGCACTGTCCTGGGAGCCCATGGGCCTTGCCAGGATGCGAGGGTGCTGTGTCCCAGACCCCCAGCGCCGGTGGTCCCACAGGCAGGTACGTCGTTGGCCCTGTCCCGGAACTGTTGGCCCTTCTTGCGGGGTGCCCGCCCTCCCTGCCCACACAGCCGCTCGGTGGACAGGTGTCCCAGGACCCCTGCCTGGGGGACAGGGCTGGACATAGCCCGCCAGCTCCCTCCGGCTCGTGGCAGGGTCTTCACACCGGGTCGCTCCGCACGTCCTGCTCCTGCCCGCCCTCCCCCCTCCTCGCGCGCCCCCCCGCCCTCCCCCCCCCCAGCTGAGGGTCTCAGCGGCTGGGACGGCCCCGCGGGGATCCCTGAATCCAGTCCCCGGTGCCAGCTGGTCCCTGCCCACCGTCGGGAAGAGCCAGCCCAGAGCACAGCGTCCGAGCTTTGGGGCGAGAGGAAAGACCTGGGGAGTAGCTGTGCGGAGGGCGGGTGGGGGGCTCCTGCTGTTGCCGTCCGGGTGGAAGAGAGGGAGGGACGCGTACGGCCCTGGGCGCGGGGAGCGAGCGGGCAGGAGGGTCCTGCAGAGGCCGGGAGGGCGGGGGGGGACACCAGGCAGCTGGTGGGAAAGGGCTGCGGGGAGGCCAGGCCCGGCCCCCGGGAGGGTCCAGCGCCCTGGCCCTCCCTGCAGCCACCCCGACCGGCGGTACCCGCGGACCCTGCCGCCCTTCTGGGGTGACGCGGGGGCCGCAGCAGGCCCGCGGCCGGGACTCCGGTGGTCTTCGCACACCGGGCCCCGCGCGCATGGCCAGCGTCACGTGCGCGCCCTCGACCAATCGCATTGACGGTGGGAGGAGCCACGCCTGCCGCGGCCCCCGGCGTGAGGAGCGCGGCTCCCAAATCCACCGCCCAGCCTGCAAGCCGCCTGGCGGGCTGTAGGGGGCGCCAGAGTCACTAAGCGCCGCCAGAGGCGCCCGGAGCTGCGTCCCCGCAGGCTGGGGAGGAGTGGGCGGGGGGCGGGAGGGGGTGGTGTGCCTGCTCTGCCCCGCCCCCGTCTCCCCAGAGCGCAGGCACAAAGGGGGCCGCTTTCAGGTCTTGAGTGGGCTTAGAATTGGGTTGGGATCACCAGGGGGTAGGTTGGTGCCTGCGGGGTGGAAGGGGGAGGCCAGGCGTTCGCAGCGTCTGGGGTCGAACTGCCAGCCCAGCTTCTGGTGGAGAGTGATGGCTCCTTTGGGAAGTTCAGGGAAAAAAACGGGTTATTTGCAACTTCTCTTCTTGTGGGCCAGTGTCCTGAAGTAGAGTGGAGCCGTACTGAGCGGCAGGCACCGCGAGCTCAAGGGATCGGGGTACTGTCCTGCGGGCTCGGTTCTCGGGGAGATGCTGGTGGCCCCGGCCTTCCCGACCCCCGACCCTCCCCTGTCCTGGGGCCTGCAGCTGACCCAGAGAGGCCTCGATGGGCCACCTGGCAATGGGAAACGCTCCTGGAGGCGGAAGGACCAGGGCTCCATGCCCTTCCATGCAGAGTGAGGGCTGGGACAGAGCCAAGCCCTGAAGCTCCTTGTCGGGGGACCGGTGCTTTCTGAGTGTCCTGGTTAGGGCCCCTCCTCAGGACAGGTTGCTGGAGGCCAAGGGTGGGGAAGGGAAGGAGGCGGCCCAGGATATGGAGACCTGGGGAAGGGGGACCCCGTACAGTGGGGGGGGGAAGATGACCCAGGACATGGGGACCTGGGTAAGGGCAGGAGGTGGCCCAGGGCAGGGGGACCTGGATGTGAGGAAGAGGTGGCTCAGGACATGGGGGGTCCCAGGTGGGGCAGGAGGTGGCCCGGGATATGGGGTCCCAGGTGGGGAAGGAGGTGGCCGGGACAGGGGGACCCAGGTGGGGCAGGAGGTGGCCGGGACATGGGGACCCAGGTGGGGCAGGAGGTGGCCGGGACAGGGGGACCCAGGTGGGGAAGGAGGTGGCCGGGACAGGGGGACCCAGGTGGGGCAGGAGGTGGCCGGGACAGGGGGTCCCAGGTGGGGCAGGAGGTGGCCGGGACAGGGGGTCCCAGGTGGGGAAGGAGGTGGCCCGGGACAGGGGGTCCCAGGTGGGGAAGGAGGTGGCCCGGGACAGGGGGTCCCAGGTCAGGTACACATCCTTCCAGGATGTGTCTCCTAGAGCCCAGCACCTACGCATTTGACTCCCAGGTCGTTTCGCTGGGGGTGGCCGGGTGGGCTACATGCCCAGAGCCTGGGCCCTCCTGTCCCCAAGCCCAGTGTGTGTGTGCCCCACCCCCACTAGGCTGGGCTGCCTGCCCCCTGCCCTCCCTCTAGCAGAGGGGCCCCTGCAGTCACCCCTCAGTCATCCTGATCTGGGTGCTCTGGCCGCCCGCCCCACCACCCCCTTGTCTGGCCTCACTCTGACTGGTCGCAACCCCGCCCCCTCATGACAATGGGGCCCCTTGGCCCTGTTCTCGCCCCACGCTTTGGGTTCAGGGACGTGTGGAGCAGTGCGGGGGTGGCGAGCCTGGGCTTTGCACTGGGTGTTCTGCAAGAACACTGTGCCCCTGACCTTCAGGACTAAGAAAAGGTCAAGCTCCCTGTGTGGGATGGAACATTCTGCCCCCCACCTGGTGGCGGGAAAGCTACTGGAGTAGGGCTCGGCCAGTGAGCACCTCAGGCCCCTGGCCACCGCCACTGGCATGGGGCCCTGGGAAGGGGTCCCAAAGGGGGCTGGAGCTGGGGGTCTCAGGACTCAGGAAGCAAGGTGCAGAGACATCCCTGGGAGCTAGTGGGCCCAGCAAGCACCCCCAGCCCCTCCATTTTCTGACTGTCTCCCTTCCTGGGGTGGGACCCAGATGCCCCCAACTTTGGTGGGCAGGATCTCAAGAGGGCCCCGCCCCTGCCCAGTCCACCTCCAAGCCCTCCTCCAGGCCCACCTCTTCTGCCAGTTCTGAGGAGGAAGGTGAAAGGGGCACACCCCTGGGGAGGGGCACCTGCAGGTGGGCCCATAAAGCAGGGAGTATCTGAGTCAGCAGTGACATGGCCACTTGCTTTCTCTCAGTCCCTACTGGGATGGGGCCTTGCTGTGCCATGTGGGTGGTGCTCACCCTGCTGAAAGGCCTGAAGGGCCAGATCCCAAACACCCCACCAGGCATTACCTCCGTGTTACAGAGCTTCCAAGAAGACCAGGTCTGGGGGCTTGGAGGGCGGGGGAGAAAGTCAGCCAGGGTCCAAGTGCAGGGAGAAAGGAGGGCCAAGGTGGCCGGGGGAGGCACCACCTGGGGACCCCAGCCTGGCTAGCCTGGTCTCAGATCCTCCCAGAGAGAGAGTCCTGACGTCCATCAGAAAAGGACTCTGGACAGGCCGTCCTGGGTCAGCAGTAACCCCTGCCAGTCCCCGTGCGGTGGGAACATCTCTGTCAACTGAAGCTCACAAAGGCCAGCCCCTGGGCAAGCTCACCCTGGCCCTGCCAGGCCCAGGGCAGCCCTCCGGCTCCTGCCAGCAACATCAGTGCAGGCTCAGGCTGGGAGCCACTGCCTGGTGAGGGCCCTTGGGGCTGTCCCGGGCTCTGCCTACCTCAGGTTCCCACAGTTCCAGGGGGAATGGTTTGTTGTCGGCCTAGCAGGCAGCACCCACAGGAAGATGGACAGGTTCCTGTTGAACCCATTCATTGCAATGTTCGAGCAAAATGAAAACAGCCGCCTTGAAGTGTCATATGCCATGACCCGGTAAGTGAGGATCCCTGGCCTGTACCCCTAGAAGCTAATGGCTTCATGGCTCAGGTCCAGCATGGGCCCCAGTGCCCCAGTTCTCCCAGGGCCCTTCTCCTAATTCAAAGTTCAGCACAGGCTGCTGGTGAGCTAAGCCAGCTCTGGGGGCACACACAAAAGAGGGGCACATTTACTGGATCACAGACTCAGAAGAGCTTTGGGGGCTTATGGATTTCAGGTACAGCTGGATCCAGGAGCTCAAACAGTGTGATCAGGGCCCCATCACCCCTTCCCTCTCCCTCTCTCATCTCTGTCTGCCCCAGACCTCTGTTCCAGAAAGTTCTCACTTCGCAGGGATAAAACATTAGCCTAGGCTGATGTCCTCCTCAGGGTTCCAATTCCAGAAAAGAGAGCATCCTGGTCAGCCTGGCAATGGCCTCTGACTGGGTTTCCTTGAGTCACATGATCCTCCTGGACCCGTTGCTGCATCCAGGGTGACGGGTGCTCTGGTTGGTCTGCCTGGATGAAGTGCCTACCCATCCGGTTGGGAAGAAGTCGGGAGTCTTGATGGGTAACCCCCTGGAATGAGGTGAGGGTGGTGCCATCCCCCCTTTGGGGGACACCAATGCCATGAGGGCTTCTTTACCCTTACCACGTCTCCAGCAGGCCTGGAGCCTTCCTTGCCCCCCTGCCTGGCTATGGGGGAGAAAGGGCCTGGGAACCTCCGGCTCTTTGGCGCCAAGTAATATAAAATAGGGGACCTTAAGCAAGGCGGGTTTGTCATGCCGACCAGGAGTAGATCCTAGAAGCTGAGAGCCTCCCTCTGAGGGTCTCCACTGGCCCCTGCCGCAGCCTGCCAGCAAGCACCATCAAAGCCACCTGCAGAGGCTCAGCCACCCCAGAACCCGCCTTTGGAGTGTCTCAGATTCCTGGGAGCATCTGACTGGCCTGGCTCCTGCCGGAGGTTGATTAATGGGGGGAGTGGGGAACAAAGAACCCAGTGCCAATGCAGCTGGACCGAGAAGCCTTCTGGGCGGGCTCACCTCTCCCCCACCTGCAGGCCAGACTGCACTTGGTTGCTTCTCAAAACAAGTACACCCACCTGGAGAGGCCCCTGCACTGTGGGAGGGCTCCCTGGGGCCTGAGCCTGGGGGACTACCGGGCCCGGCCCAGGAGCAGCCGCCCAGAGCCCCCACTTCTCCCCATCTGGCCTGGCTCAGCGAAGTCCAGGGCTGCTGGCTGGGGGCACCGGCCACCATGCCCAGCTGGGCCCACTCAAGACTCCCAGAGGGGACCCTGTGGCCAGAAATACCTGTTTCTCAGCATTGCACATACACACACTTTGGAGGTCCTAGTCCAGGCGATGAGGAGCAGCCAGTGGGTGGGCTGGCCAGGGGCTTTGAGGGCATGCGCGCAGATGGGGGAGAGCTCACGCCTCGTTCCTCCAGGAGGGACACCGCTCCCGGGGGAGGGCAGCAAAGCCTCCTGTGTGCTGGGCCGTGCCCCTGGCTTCTGACAGATGCCTCCTCCAAACAGCTGAATGCTCTCTCTCTCGGGAGGGGGGGCACTTCGGGGCCAGCCCCTGAGACAGAGAAGGAAACCCGAGGTCTGGCCAGGTTCCAGAACTTTTCTCTCCTGCAGGGGCCACCACTGTGTCACCTGGTCTTATGTGCTGGTTCCGGCGGCGCGGCCTGGGAGATTCTGGGTGGGCCGCGGAGAGGGTGAGAGGGTGACCGGCGGGAGGCAGGGGGGCAGCCTGCGGAGGGCGCCGGGAGGGGACGCCCCTCACACTGCGGCGGTACCACCCCAGTGTCCGGGGCAGAGCCCGAGGAGGTCCAGGTGTACGACACAGACTACAGCGTGTTCGCGCTGATGCTGTTCCGAAGACAGTCGGGTGGCCAGAGTATCCTCAGGGTCAACCTGCTATGTGAGTCCCCGGCCCAGTGGCCACGGTCGGGCTGGTGGGAGCAGGAAGGGCAGGGAGGGCAGGGTGCCCAGTACTGCCCAGCACTGCCCACTCAGCCTCCGTGGCTAAGGGCCATGCTCTGTTCATTGGGCCCCAGGCAGGATGTGGATGATCCAGACCCAGGTGCTGGACAAATTTGTCTGCCTGGTCAGAGCTCTGGGCCTGTCGGATAACAACATCGTCTTCCCAGACTTGACAGGTAACGGGCCCTCAGGCCGTGGCAGGGGCCTGCGCCCAGCATGGGGCCCGCCCATGGACCTTGAAAGCCCTATGGGAGCCCGCAGGGGAGCGTGGTCTGCGTGCAGGGTCTACCTGTGGGGTCCTGGCAACCCCAGAGGGTTCAGCCTGAGCCCAAAGGGTGGATCCTCATAACTCCTTGGTCTCTGCTCCCCCCCCCGGGCCCCCCTGTCCCGGGCCACCTCCTGCCCCCACCTGGGCCCCCCCCCATCCTGGGCCACCTCCTCTCATTCCAGGAGCATTTCCCACGTCTGGCTCTTTACACGTGTATGACCGTGTGTACACATGGTGGCGTCCATAAAGCATGTGCGCACATGCGGACATGCAGTGCTCATGCTGGCACACGCCCCCACCTACACAGCCATGCATGCACATGTATGCACACACAGGGAGAAGTGCGTGTGCACAGTGTTCACAAGAGTGCTCGGCTGCACATCTGCACCGAGTCTGGGGGCTGGGGTGGGGGCAGGGCAGCGCCCTGGAGGGCGTGTCCCTCAGTGTCTGGCTGGCCTCCGGGGCCCCAGCACCTTCCCCCCAACACTACACCTCGCTGCAGGCCCCCTTCCTCCCTCTGTCCCCTGTTCCTCTCCCCTCCCTGGAGCTCCCATGCCTCTGGCCTCCTCCCCAGCTCTATCCCCATTCTCTGCTCCAACCTCCATCTGAGACTCTGGTCTCCCCCATCAGATTGGTCACCCCATCTGGGTACCTGCCGAAGGTGAACGCAGCTCCTCCCCAGCCAAGGTCTCTGCTCTCAGCATGGAATAAATCCTGTGTCGGGATCCAGGAGTAGGAGGCACCATGACCTTGGGGTGGTAGGGGAGGCACGAAGTAGGGGAGGACCCTCTGCACACATTCATGCCTACCCCCAGCCCTCCAGGCCTGTGCTCACCCTCTGGCCTCCCGGGGTGTGTCTGTGAGTGTGTGTGTGGGTGTTTGCAGGTCCTTGTGAGTCCCAGGACAAGACCCCTCCATCCTGCCCACTCAGCCCCCAGCTCCACGAGTTCAGAGACCCCAGCTCCACCTCCCCACCCCCCAGAGCCCTGGAGCTGCCATGGGGGTGCAGCTGGGGCCCCAGAACAGGAGCAGGCCTAGATGCAGATGCCCCAGCCTGGAGGGCAGGGTGAGGGGAGACAGGTTTGGCTTCCTGCCATGGGGGGGGTGGGGGTGGGGACAAGCTTCCGAGGCCTGACCCCCACTGGGTGTAGGGACCTTTCAGGTACAGAGAGCCACAACCTGGGATCCCAGCCGTTTGCACACCTGAGATGCAGCTGCCCTGCCCCAGACAGGACCCGTCTCCCCCCAGATCCTGGCGCCCAGGGATCTCCAAGCAGGGGGGCAGCAAGCCAAGCCCAGGGCCTGCCGGGAAGCTGCCCCCCCGCCCCCAGAGATCAAAGAACATCTAGAGAGACCTCTTGCTGTGTACCAGACTGCATTTCTTTGGCCTGAGTGTGCTACCCCAATCTGGGCCTGTTCCTCCCTCTGGGGCCCTGGGCCCCCCCCATCTGGGCCTGTTCCTCCCTTGGGGCAGGGTCAGCGGAAGGGGATGAAAGCAGGTGAGCTGTCCATGGCCCGGGGGAAGCATTTGTCCCTCTGGCACTCACCTGGCCTGTCAGCTTCAGCCCTGGGTGGTGGGAGGGGCCCTTCCCCAAAGACTCCCCATGGCCTGGGTCGTGCATTCCTCCCAGCCTTGCCCACCAAGGTCACACAAAGCCCTGTACTGTGACAGTGACATCGATGGGCCACCTCGGGCTTCCCCTGGTCCTGGGAGCACAAAGCTGCATCCCGGGAGAGCCTTCCAGGCCGCAGATGGTGGCGAGCTGCATCTACCGGGGGCCACAGAGATCTGGGGATCATGTAGCAAGCTGCCCTAGCGCCCAGGTGGAGAGGCCTCCTTTGGCCCTTCTCCAGCCATAGCCCTTCCCGCCAGTGTCCCTTGTCACGGCGCACCTGCGCTGGCCCCACGGGGCAGGTGCTCCACCCGAGCCCAGCTGCCCGCTGGCCAAGGTTGGCTTGGGCGGGCAGGGCCGGGGCCTCAGGCCTCAGGCCCTGAGGGGATGGAGCCGGGGCTGGGCGGAGAGGAACAGGCTGGGAAACTGAGCCTCCTGCACGTGACCCTAGCCTCCACTTCCACGAAAGGACAGAAGCTGCCTTGTTTACTAGTCTAAAGGGCAGGCCATGATTTTGAGCGACTCAGGACCTCCGGGAATTCTCTCGGCCCTGCCTGGGGGCCTGGGTCCCTGGGGTGTCCCCATTCCTCAGTGACACGCAGGACTCAGGGCCCTGGAGGATGCCCGCGACCACCCCAGCCCTTGTCCTGGCCCTGTCCCCCTCCTGAGGGGCTGTGGTGTGGGTCCCAGCAGGCCCCACGGCTGGACATAGCTCTCTGCAGGGTCAGTACCACTGCCCGACTCAGTGTTGCCACAGCTGCCCACTGGCTGGCGGCCCAGGATACCGCTCGATGCCCCCCCCCGGCCCCCCACAGCTTCTCCCTGAGCCTGGTGAGAGCAGGTGTGCCGTCGTCTGGACATCTGTCCCCATGTTCCAGGAGGCACGGTTACTGGCCTGTCCCTAGGAATGGTCAGTGCCGCAGGAACCTCCCCGTTCCGGCCTAGACAGGCAGAAACCCTATAAAATGGAAAAGGCTTGGACCCTGGAGCGAGGGCACAAGTGGGTCCAGCTGAGCCTTGGATATTCTCCAGCTGCCCCGGGTCCCCGTTCCCCTCAGGTCCCTGGGCAGGTGCTGCATGGCGCCAGCACCTGAAGTCAGAAGACCACCTCCAAGGTCATGCCCCTGCTGTGTCCGAACCCTCCTGGAGGCTCAGTCTGCCATTTCTCTCACCCAAGCGCCCCCTGCAGGTCAGGGAGTGCCACAGCCGTGCGACAGGCAGGGTAGGCGTGGGTGAGGGCCACGGATCGTGTCCCCCCGACCCCCGAGGCAGGATTCTAACCCAGTTCGTCGGGGCTGGGTGGACATCCTTGAGCCCAGCCTGAGCCGTGGCTGTGGTTTGAGGGGACACCCTGTCCGGGACCTCGTGGGCCAGCACCCAGCTGCTGTGGTGTCGAGGGCAGCGAGATGGACAGGACCCAGAACTGTCTGGGTGGACTGAGAAACCAGCCTGCTGCGGGGAGCCCTCCCCAGCCTCTGGGGGGCCATTCCAGGGAGAGCGGCCCCCTGGGAGGGATGGCCGGCAAGGCCAAGGGACATTTGGGGCCCCATGTCTGCACCTGAGTCTGCTGGGGGCTTGACCGTGCGTGGTGGGGACGAGCCAGGGCAGCAGGGGCAGGAGGGACAGCTGGAGGGCTCCAGGATAGAGCAGCCGTGGGCTCAGGCCGCCGTGGGACCAGCCTGGGCGCAGGAGGGGCCGGGCACCCGCGGGGCCACCCGAGGTGGGCTGGGTCCCTTCGTCTGACGACAGGTGCTCTCGCCCCACCTGTTGGACTCATTTCTTTATTACATCATTTTCTCTCTTTATTAACTTGTAAATATTACTTTGTTGAGTTTTTTAAAATGTCTTTAAGTATCCACTTCTGTGGCATCAAGCACATTCACACTGTTGTGCGGTCCTCCTCTCTATCTGTCCCCAGAACTTGTTCATCTTCCCAGTCTAGACTCTGCCCCATTAAACCCTGTTCCCAGCCCCCACCCCCCACCCCCGGAGTCTGTGGGTCCAACTCCTCCGGCCTCCTGAGAGTTTCCACTCGTACAGAATTGGTCCTTCTGTGCCAGGCTGATCTCACTCAGTACCACGTCCTCCAGCTTCATCCACATAGTAGCAGGTGTCACGATTCGTTTCTTTTTAAGGCTGAATAATGTTCCATGGTGTGGACGGACCACGTCTTGTTTATCCATTCACCTGTCAGTAGACGCTTGGGCTGCTTCCACCCCTTGGCTATTGTGAATAATGCTGTGAACATGAGTGTTCGGATCTCTCTTCAAGACCTTTTTTTTTTTTAGAGAGGGGAGAGGGACAGAGGCAGAGGGAGAGGGAGAATCTCAAGCAGACTCCACGCTCAGCACAGAGCCTGACGCAGGGCTCCGTCTCATGACCCTGAGATCGTGACCTGAGCCAAAATCCAGAGTCAGACACTTAACCGACTGAGCTGCCCAGATGCCCCTCAAACCTTGCTTTCTTAACTTTGTACTGTTCTTTTTGTGTTAGCTTGGAGGTTACGAGGTCATCCTTGAGTTATTAAGTCAAATATAAATAAGCATGTTCACCATTTTCTGGGCAATGTAATTATTTACAACACTATACCCTCTGAGATTTTTTTTAAAGATTTTATTTGTTCATTTGCCAGAGAAAGAGAGAGAGAGAGAGCACGAGCAGGGGGCGTGGGAGAGGGAGAAGCAGGCTCCCCGCTGAGCCGGGAGCCCAACGCAGCACTCGATCCCAGGACCCCGGGATCCTGACCCGAGCTGAAGGCAGACACTTAACCCACTGAGCCACCCAGGTATCCCTTATGCCCTCTGAGATTTTGTTTTATTTTTGTCATGTATTTTAATTCTAACTATGTTTTACACCCTGCAAGACGTATTGAGGGTGACCAAGGCCGCGGTCCCCAGGGCCTTTGCTCTGCCCTGCCATCACTCCTGCACCATCCGGCTCCTATCAGCAGCGTTTTCCTTCTGGCTGAAGGCGTCCTTTCATATCTTTGTTTAATTGCAGATCCACTGGTGATTAATTCTTTTGGGTTTCCTTTGTCTGGAAAGTCCTTATTTAGTCTTTATTTCTAAAATATGAACTTAGGGGGTGCCTGGGTGGCTCATTCGGTGAAGTGTCTGCCTTCAGCTCAGGTCGTGGTCTCGGGATCCTGGGATCGAGCCCCATGTGAGGCTCCCTGCTCGGTGGGGAGTCTGCTCCTCCCTCTGTTCCTCCCCCTCAGCTTGTTCTCTCTCTCTCTCTCAAATAAATAATCTTTAAAAAAATAAAAATAAAATATGAGCTTAGATTTGACATGCAC